CTATGCACATATAGATGTGCTATATTTAATCATATGCATCATGTAGAACTTATTTTCTACAACTTTGAAAACTCAATAATATGCCTTGAATTTCAGTCACATAACTCTATTTTACTTATTTTTCATTATGTTGTGGTATTTCAGAGTTTTAACTCTCTACTTATTGACGTATTCTTTGCAATTTTTCACTACTACAAACATTGCTACAATGAATCCCATTGTATAAGGCCTCCTTAGGCATACTTGGAAGTGCTAGAGCATTGGTATATGTATTTTCCCTTATAATAATTACTACAAATTGTTTTCTTAAACAACTGTATCAGTTTAGTCTCCCATGAACAGTATATGAGAATTTCCTCTCAACCAGTGGGCCTCAACCTGGGACCATTTCCCCTTCCCACAACCGTTTATTTGGCAAAGTCTGGAGTCATTCTCAGTTGTAACAACAGGAGTGGAGAGTGGTTCTACTAGCATCTGGTGGGTACAGGTAAGGAATACTGCTAAGTATCCTGCAAGAATTATCTGGCTCAAATGTAAACAGTGCTGAGGTTGAAAAACCCTTCTCTAAATCCCAACAAATAGTTATTAACATCAAACTTTCAACATTTGTATCCATATGTATATAATGAACAAAAACTAGTACCTTAATTTGTATACCCTCAGATACTAATGAGTTACACATATTTTCATATTTATTTTATTGATCAAATACATTACCTCTTTTGTAAATTGCTCATATTCGTTGCTACTTTTCCACTAAATTTGTGTCATTTTCTTTATTTATAAAATCTAGATCTCAATCTATGTTCTCTGAATATTTTCTCTAAATCTTACTTCATTAATTTGATCATGTTGCTTTTTCTCCTACAAAAGTTATTAACTTTAATACACTCAAATCAAGCAAGATTTTGTTTGAACTTTTATTTCAAAGCTTATTTAAGAATTTTGTTTTCAAGGCTATAACATCATATTTTCTTTTGTATGATTAAATTTTTTATTTTTGTACTTATGCACAAAATTTTGGGGTCAATTATTTGAAGTAGAAAAAAAACATTCTTTTTTTTTTTTTTTGAGTTAGAATCCCGCTCCATCACCCAGGCTGGAGTGGAGTGGCATGCTCATGACCACCCCAACACTAACCCGCTAGGCTCAGGTGATCCTTCCACCTCAGCCTTCCAAGTAGTTGGAATGACAGGCACACACTACCATGCCCGGTTAATTTTTTGACTCATTGTAGAAATGAGGTCTAGTTTTGTTTCTAGTTGGCATCTTTATGCAAATATCTAACAGGGATCTTAAACTCTATATGTTGAAATCAGAACTCTTGATTCCCTTTCCCACAAAACTTATTTTGACACTCAACTAGCTTGTCAGTTCTGTTTATCAAACCAAATATCGAGGATGTATTCTTGATTTCTCATTTTAACGTTTCAAATCCTATTCACCACCACAGTCCTTTTAACTCTACCGCAGAAACAGAATTTACTCACTCCATGTCAGCAATGTTCTTCCTAGTCCAAACTAATATGATCTCTTCACTGGACTTCTGCAGGACTCTTCTTTTTTTTTTTTTTGAGTCAGTGTCTCACTCTGTCGCCCAGACTGGAGTGCAGTGGATGCTCCCGGCCACTGCAGCTCAACCTGCTGGGCTCCGGCGATCCTTCCGCCTCAGTCTTCCAAGTAGTTGGAACTACAGGCATGCGCTACCACGCCCGGTTAATTTTTTTATTTATTGTAGAGATGAGGTCTCACCAAATTGCCCAGGCGGGTCTCGAACCCACGGGCTCAGGCAATCCACTCACCTCAGCCTCCCGAGGCGTGGAATTACTGGCTGAGCCAACCAGCCTGGCTTGCAGGACTCTTCTAACAGGCTGCTTCAAAATCCATTCCCCAGTCATCCTTTTTGAATATATATCAGATCACATGACTCCCCTGCGTAAAACGCTTTGGTGACCTCCTATGGCACTAGAATAAAACTGGAACTCCTCACCCAGGGCTATAAAGTCAGGCTTGGTCTGGCTCCTGCTTCTTCTCCAGCTTCTTCTTGCACCAGTCTCGCTCACATGCTGTTCCTACTAAGCTTGCCTTATTTCTGCTCCTTGAATATAGCAAAGTCATTCTCTCACAAGGATCTTTGTACTAGCCCTGCACTAAATCTGCTGGCATATTCTTCTTCAGTCAAAATCATAACTGTCTCAGCTTAAATGTTATCTCTAGGAAGAGACCTTTCCTAACTACCAAATTAAATGCCCAGTTTTCCCTATGTAAGTGTTCTGTTTTAATTCGCTGTAGAATATTAATGTTTTCTTCTTTATTTTTCCTTTTTTTTTTTTTGGTTTGAGTAGAAGTCTTACTCTGTCACCCAGACTGGAGTGCAGTGGCACTCTCATGGCCACCGCAGCCTCAACCTTCTGGGCTCAGGTGATTCTTCCACCTCAGCCTTTCAAGTAATTGGAACCACAGGCATGCACCACCACGACTGGCTAATTTTTTGATTTACTGTAGAGATGAGGTCTTACCAAGTTGCCCAGACTGGTCTCGATCCTCTTTAATCTTCATTGGTTTCTTCTATCTGTAACTTTGCACTAGAATGTTAAGTTCTCTAAGAGCACTGAAAAATTCTCATCCTGTGTCTTAGCCCATTCGGGCAGCTGTAACTAAATACCATAGACTGGATGCTTTAGAAACAACAAAAATTTATTTCTCATAGTTCTGGAGGCTCAGAAGTCCAAGATCGAGGTACCAGCAGATTTAGTAAGGGCCTGATTCCTGGTTCATAGAGGGCTGTCATGTCAGTGTGTCCTCACATGACAGAAGGAGGAAGGGAGCCCTCTGGGGTCTTTTTTAAAATAAAGGTACTAATCCCAGTCATGAGGCTCCACCCTCATGACTTAATCACCTCCCAAAGTCCCCATATCCTAATACCATCAAATTGGGCATTAAGATTTCAACATAAGAATTTTGGGGAACATAAACATTCAGTCTATAGATAGCATCCTGTAATAAAGTGCCCAGCATATAAGTGCTCAATATGTTTTAGGTTTATTGTTTGAAGCTCTAATCAATTCCATTGATATATTTGTCTATTTCTTTACAAAAACTCTCTTTAACTATAGTTTTAGTAAATATTTTAATATGTAGCAGAATAAGAACTACCCTTCCCTACACACATTGTTCTTTTTTAAAATTGTCTTTTCTAAGGTTGTAAAATACCTATTTACATGAATGTCAGATGCAATTTATCATGTTTCATGTTAAATCCTGTTGGAATTTTGATTGATATTGCTTTGAATTTACAGATTACTTTGAGGAAAACTGACAACTATACAGTCCTTAGGTTTTATATTAAAAACACAACATATTTTCCACTTATTTAAAAATCATTTTTGTACCCTTTGATTTAATTTTACAGTTTCCTTTTTATCAGTTTTCAGTTCCTTATAGGAAACTTATAAACTTTTAAAGACTGTTGGGAATTATGTTTTTCTGTTAGACTTGTTAATTTCCGGTACATAGGGTAGCTCTTCTATCTGGACCTCATTGAGATCTCTTATTTGATCTAAGAACTTGTAGGGCTTTGTAAAAAAAATTATTTTCTAAAGAAGATGATCACATTATTTCACAGAATACATCAACTTTTCAAGATATCATATCACATTGTCTGAGACCTCCAGAAAAATGCTCAGTAGTAGTATAAATGTGAACATCCCTGTCTTGTTCCATGCATTCATGGAATCACCATTAAGTATGATGTTTGCTCTAAGTTTCTGGTAGAAATTTTTTTTATCAAGTTAAAAATTTCCTTTTGTGATCTTTCTATACATTAAAAAATAGCTTTTAAATAATATTTTTAAGAAATCAGGTTTATAAGAGGGAAGAACTGAAACATGACCATAGGTTTAAGAAATCCTGCAATGTTTTAATAAAAATAATTACTAATTTTTCAGCTTCCTTTATGAGGTAGAGTGCTAAATATTTTTGGTACTTTATTCCTAACTATCAGCATACTTCAGAAAAGTGGAATTTTTTTTAACCATTTTAAAAATGAGAAAATCTTGGCTCAGAGACTCAAGTAATTTATCATAGGTCACAAAAACGTAATAAGCAATTGCATAGGGAATTAAAGCCACTGTATCTAGCTCCAAAGCCTACACTCTTCCCACTGTATTCAATTTTTAATTTGGTGAGATATTAGACCAAGACTTTTAACATGCACTGGTGAAAAAGATAAAAAATGTGCCCTCAGTATATGCACTGACTGATAACCATACCCAAAGAATGTCTATCCTGATGTCAATTATGAAGGGGATTTCAAAGTGAAAAGTCATAGAGACCTGTTTTTGTCATGAATAGCTATATCTTTAAACATGAATAGGTTACATCAAGGCAAAGACACAAAAGACCAAGTTGAGCAGGCTAGTTATTAATACAGTGGATTATAGAACAGAGATTCAAAAACATCTAAAGAGCTGCAATATTGGGCCAAAACAAGCAAGAAAAATTTCAAATGCTTAGAAGTAAAGATTGACCCTTAGGTTCAAAAAAATCAAATGCACAAAAGTAGGATGTGAATAACCATAGTCCCTGTCTATGAAAAAGACCTAGTGGTTTAAACCAAAAGCCAACTTTGTATAACATGGTTGACAAGTTTATTCAACACAATTTTAGTATGCACGAATATAATTGTTAATGACTACAGGAAAAGGAACTACTCTCCAGATCTAAAAATACATACTTAGTTGTAGTAATTATATTTTAATTGGTCATAACTTAGTAATGATGCAAGTCACACTAGATATTTATTTCATCAGGTTTAACATAGAGAAGATTTCAAAAGCAACAGGAAACCCCATACTGGTTTGATAACTCTTGGGGGACAAGGGGTTCACAGAACAATGCATACCTTGTGAGTTCAACCTTATCAGAACTGGAACATCCATTATCAAAAAAAGTCATCCTCATATCTTCTGTGTAATCTAAGAGTTCCTATGTGTACTTACCGCTACTCCCGTCTTATAGAGGAGGTAATGCACGGTCTGTGTAACATCGGCTGCATGCATTAAGTTATGGTAAGGATTTTTGTGTTTGCTGTATCCCACTTCCAGAGCCTCCACAAATGAGACAAGTGCAGAAATGGGGATCTGAAAGACAGCAGTAAGGTTAATTAACTAGTGACTTAGCTGCTTTAAGTGAAAAAGCAAAAGTCTAAGGCACCCGGACTGCTTTTTTCTGTAAGTATAACATCACATGAGAAAATTGGAACTTTTCATAGTTAATAAAAATCACTGACAAAATCAACAGATACTTTGAAAATCTAACAGGAGTCCCTGGTTAAGGAACAGTCTGTCTTGCAAATTGCTCTTTGTTCCTCAGTTCAGAATCCCTGGGGAATGACACAGAATCATCTCAAGATATTTAGATTTATTCACATGTAAAGCAATGATTTTTGAGGCCCCTGTTAAAAACTAAGTGATTGGTGACTATGTTAATTTTCTGTATTTACTTGTTCTCATCTTCTCTTAAACACCCTTTCCCTCTGACCCTAGGAAAATGAGATGCTACATAGGCTGCCAAACAATGTTGTAAACACTGAGACATATAGAAATAATACTAATAATTAGTGCCAGTTTGTGAAATCATTCACTATTTGTAGTCTAATAGTTAAAATGAGACCTACCAAATTGTAATTCACCAGCAATAAACTGCCAAGTAATAAACATAAGACTGTTGCCTCTTTGTGTTCCCATAAATAACAGACTACCATATTTTGGTTTTGGAATTTAGATTACTTTGTTTTCTTTTCTTTCTTTTTGTTTTTATACCACCACTCCTTTTAATGGGCTGGTTTTCAGGCAATCAATATTTTCTTTGATACTGGTGACTCTTTGTGCTTGTTTTCCAATAATTTTGTAACTTAAGATTTGTGTACTTTATGTTTTCCCACAAATTAATGAGATATGCTGCATAGCATATGTTCACTTATTTCTCAAGAAATAAAAGATTTCAGCTTTTATTTGGTACTATTAGTAACTCAGGATAATATTTCCAGCTGCTGTTTTCACCTGAACTACACATAATAGGCATACCTTCCTTTTCTATGTAGTAGAAAGTGAAAAATAATTGCAAAATGCATGTTTCAAAATAAGGGTATTCTGGAAACATTTATTGTATTTGTTTTCTGGATCAATTCCATAGTTCAGGGTAAATTATGAAGCATAAGGCTGGGGGAAAGAGAAGAGGGTGTGTGTGTTCCTGGAGAATAACTATCACATTAGTAAGGGGGAAAAATAAGGAAAATGACACTGCAATGCTTCTGAGATTCCATTTCCTGCTTCTGAGATTCCATTTCCTGTTCTTCCTTGGGCACATTCTTCCACGCTTACCATTTGTAAATTTTTAAAAAGTTAACAATGGCTGTAAAGAGGTCAGAGATGAATTCATTATCATTTTAAAGATAAAGATTCACTGAACCTGGGATTCTGGGGTTGTTCTTTGGAAATCTCTAAGCCACTAAAAGACTGTGTGTATGTGCACAGGAATTTGTTCTAAGGAAAGGGTCTCCAGCATCCAACAGATGTTCATGCAGGTTTCTGATGCAAACAAATTAAGGACCTAAGGACCACGCCGCTTTGATCATTCCTATATGATCATTTGTGATCATATAAGAAATATATTCTTAGTGGGAGGAGCTTCAAGATGCCTAACTAGAGGCATCTGGTACATGCCTCCTCTACAAAGAAGAACCAAAATAGCAAGTAGATAATCACATTTTGAATAGATCCTTTAAGAGAAAATACTGGAATTCAAAAGAGAAGTGACAATAAATACTTAAAGCAAAGAAGGAGAGGAAAGTAAGCCAGTAGGACTGGCTGAGAGCCTGGAAAGGCTCCCCAGTGTGGGAAATGGGTAAGTGAGTGTCCCCCAGTGGTCCATATTCCCACCATGGACTCAAATCCTAGCCAACAAAAAGCCCTAGACCTTTGCGGGTCCCAAGACTAACATAGGAAGCGGCCTGGAGGCCACTTCCTATGCCATCATGCATTGCTCCAGATAGGGAACTCACAGTGGGTCCCACACACCCTTTTGAGCCCTAAGCAGCTGCAGCAAGATGCTATGTTGAGAGCCCAGCCCCCAGCAGTGTGTACCCTGCCCAGGAGCAGGGGGTAGGGGGCGGTGGTGAACAGATCCTACATCTCCACAGCTCTGAAGTCACATTGACATTCCCTGCCCATAGCTGCCACCACAGATGGCTGTTGCCTCCAGGGTTGAAGCACTAGCCATTGTCAAAGACTCCATTGCCCCTAGCAATGTAAAGCTGCTGCACATTTTCACTCACCCCAAGAACAAAATCCTGAACCCACACAGCTGCCATTGAGGGCTGCCACAGCCAGGGCCAAAGCACAAATGAAGTGCATGCCTCCCAGCCTCGTAAATATGACTGACACCACTGAAAACAACACCACCCTTCACAATAGCAGAGCTGAATTGCAGCCATTGTCACCCCTACTGAAGCATTCTGCCTTGGACCTAAGGGTCACTCCAGCCTTGCCTATCATAGCCAGCACTTGCATGCACAACTGGGAAGGCCTGAAGACAGATCCAATGAACCAGCTCCACTCTTTTTAGTACCTGGACACACTATCTGGGAGCCAGAAGACTACCTAGCATAGTCCACCACCATTGACACCTGAGCCTACTTTCAAGAGCCTGAGATCAGGCCCATCCAAATTGCTGCTACCATCACAGCTGGCACTCACCTACACATGCCACCTGCAAGTCAGGGGACTGCCTGCTGAGCCCATCATAGCCATCAAGCTTGGACCCAAAGCTTAGTTTCACCACTGCTACTGCCATCACCCATGCCACACCTGTTTCCAGAGAACTAAGAACCCACCTGGTTCAAGGCTGCCACTACCAAAACTCATACAAGTCACCAAGAGGCCAAAGAATCAGCCCACATGGATCTGCTAACACCAGACCCAATGTATGCCATCCAGGGGCCCAGTAACAGGTTGGCTTAGCCTGCTGCTGCTACCTAGAGCCCATCTGTTGTTCCCATTACCAGCAAAACTTCACCACAGCCTCCACTAACAACTGCACTCTAAGCCACTAAGGAAATCACAGACACTACTGCTATTTTTTACAGATAAATAAGTCATATGGAGACTGCATTACTGCACACTCCAAGAATCAAAGCCAAAGTGCCCAACGAAACCAACACCATATACATATTCAAAAAAAGTCCTTTTCTATGAAAGCATATTTTTAAAAATTGAAAGCAGTCACTGTTATACCACATGCATAGATATCAACATAAGGGCATAAGACACAAGAAAAAGTAAGAAAATATGACAGTTCCAAAAGAACACAATAACTGTCCAGCAAAAGATTCCAATAAAAAATAAATATATGAAGTCCCAGATAAATAATTCAAAAGAATAATTCTAAATAAGCTCAATGAGATAAGAGAATACAGAAAAAACAATACAAATAATAAGAAAAACAATTCATGATATGAATTATAAATTTACCAAAGAGATAGCCATCATACAAATGAACCAAACAAATTCTGAAATTGAAGAAGTTATTGAATGAAATACAAAACACATTTGAAAGCTTCAACAATATGCTATATCAAGTAGGGAAAACAAATTTCACAACTAATAGAAAAGTCTTTTGAAATAACTCAGTTGGACAAAAATAAAGCAAAAGAATTTTTAAAAATGAACAAAACCTATGTAGCAAATGGGACACCATAAAGTAATAAAATATTTGAATTTTTGGTGTCCCAGAAAGTGAAGAGAAAACAAAAGAGTAAGAAACCTATTTAACAAAATAATTACTAAAAGCTTCCCATGTCTAGAAAGAAATTTAGATATACAGACACAGGAAGTTCAGAGAATCACAAACAGACTGCTAAAAGACCCTCTCCACAGTACAATATTGTCAAACTGACAAAATAAAAAATAAAGAGAAAATTCTAAAACAGCAAAAGAAACATCTAGTCACTTATAAAAGAACTCCCATCAGACTAACAGAGAATTTCTCAGCATAGATCTTACAGGAAAAAAGAGGATGAGCTATATTCAAAGTGCTGAAAGAAGAAAAATTGCCAGCCAAGGATATTGTACCCAGTAAAACTATCTTTCATAAGGAGAAATAAAGTCATTCCCAGACAAGCAAAAGCAGAAGGAATTCATTACCACTAGACCAGTCCTACAAGAAATGCTTAAGAGAGTCCTATATTTAGAAGAAAGAAAGAAAGACAAACAATGTCTACTATCATGAAAATGCAAAAAAAAAAAAGAAAGAAAGAAAAGAAAAGAAACTCACTGGTATAGCAAATACACAAGTAAGGAAAAAGGAATCAAATGTTATCACTACAAAAAAACCACCAAACTACAATTATAAGAAATCTGAAAGAAAGGAATAGGATATACAAAACAACATGAAATCAACTAATAAAATGGCAGAAGTAAGATCTCATTATCAATGATAACCTTGAACGTTAAAGGATTAAACTTCTCACATAAAAAATATGGACTGGCTAAATGGATTAAAAAAAAAAAAAACCATGAATGTTTCTCACCTGTAAAGACACAAATAGTCTGGAAATAAAAAGACTTAAAAAAAGATAATCCATGGAAAGAAAAACCAAAATGAACAAGAATAGCTTTACTTATATCAGATTAAATAGATTTTAAGTCAAAAATAGCAAAAAGAGACATAGAGGATAATAATACAATGAAAAAAGGATTAATTCAGTAAGAAGTATGATGTTTCTAAACCTATATGCACCAAACATCAGAGCACTCAGATATATAAAGAAAATATTAAAGGGAGAGAGAGACTCCAATAAAATAATAGTTAGGGACCTCAACATCCTACTAATAGCATTAGAAAGGTCATCTATACAAAAAATTAACAAAGAAATATGGAATTTAAAGTTCACAGTAGAACAAATGGACCTAATAGGCACTTACAGAACATTTTATCCAACAGCTACAGAACATAACAGTCTTCTCATCAGCACATAGATAATTCTCCAGCATAGACCATATGTTAGGGAACATAGGAAGTCTCAAAATATTTTTAAGAACTCAAATCACATTAAGGATCTTTTCAGACCACAAAAAATAAAATAACATTAGAAATCAGTAACAAGAAAAACTTTAGAAACTACAAATACATGAAAATTAAATAATGTTCCTGAATTACTATTGAATTAAGGAGTATTTACAGAGGAAATCAAAAACATTTTTAAAGCAAATGAAAATTACAACATAGCATACCAAAACCTATGGGATACAACAAAATCAGTGCTTAGAGGGAAGCTTATAACGATAAGTGCCTAAATCAAAAAAGTAAAAAAATTCCAAGTAAGCAATCTAACAGTGCACCTTCATAAACAAGAAAGCAAGAACAAACCAAATACAAATTAGAAGGAAAAAATATAATAACAATCAAAGTAGAACTAAATGTAATAGAAACTTTAAGAAAATGCAAAGGATCACCAAAATGAAAAGTTGCTTTTTGAAAAGATAAACTGTAAATACAACAGACTGCTAGCTAGACTAACCAAGAAAAAAGAGACAATCCAAATAAACAGCATCAGAATGAAAGAAGAGATATCACAACTGATACTACAGAAATACAAAAGTTTATCAGAGACTGTTATGAACAACTATATACTAACAAATTGGAAATCTGAGAGAAAATGGATAAATTCCTGGACATATACAACCTATAAAGATTAAATCAGAAAGGAATAGAAAATCTGAACAGACCAATAATGAACAGTGAGTTTGAATTAGTAATAAAAAAGTCTCCCAAAAAATAAAAGTTCAGGAACAGAGGGAGTCACTGCCAAATTCAACACAACTTTCAAAGAACTAACATCAATTCTCCTTAAGCTATTCAAAAAAACCGAAGAAGAGATAGTTCTTCCTAAGTGATTTTACAAGGACAACATAACCCTGCTGACAAGAACTCAACAACAACATAAAAAAACTAGAGGCCAATATCCCTGATGAAAATAGACATAAAAGTCCTTAACAAAATTTTAGATTACTGAACCCAACAGTTCAGCAAAAAAGATAATACACCATGATCAAGTGGGATTTATCCTAGGGAATGCAAAGATGGTTCAACATAACCAAATCAATAATCATAATACATTACATCAACAGAATGAGAAACAAAAACCATATGATCATTTCAAGATGTGCAGAAAAAGCATTTAACAAAATTCAATATCCCTTCATGATAAAAACCCTCAACAAACAAGGCACTGAAAGAACATACCTTAACATAATAAAGGCCATATATGACAAATCCACAGTTAACATAAAACTAAATGGGGAAAAGCTGAAAGTCTTTTCTCTAAGAAATATAAGGATGTGTACCTTCACATTCCCATTCAATATACTACTAGAAGTCATAGCCAGAGTAATCAGGCTAGATAAAGAAATAAAAGGCATCCAAATTGGGAAAGAGGAAGTTAATTTGTCTCTTTGCAGATGATATGCTCTTATATATAGAAAAAACTAAAAACGTCACTAAAAAAACTCTTAGCTCTAATAAATAAATTCAGTAAAGTTGCAGGAGACAAAAATCAACATAAAAATCAGTAATGTACCATCTCATACATAGAGAATGAACTAGCTGAAAAAGAAATCAAGAAGTCAATCCCAATTATATTTACAAAAAACTCCAAAATACCTAGTGTTAAATAAAATCATAGAGGTTAAAGATCTCTTCAACTAAAAAAACACTGATGAAAGAAATTGAAGACAACACAAATAAATGGAAAGACAGCCCACACTCATGAATCAAAAGAGTTAATATCATTAAAAAGACCATACTGCCCAAAGCAATCTACAGATTCAATGCAACCCCTTTTCAAAATACTGATGTCATTTTTCACAAAAAGAGAAAAAACTATTCTAAAATGTATGTGGAATCCCCAAAAAGTCCAAATAGAGCAATCCTAAACAACAAGTACAAAGTTGGAAGCATCACACTACATAACCTAAAAATATATTACAAAGCTATAGTTACCCAAACAGCATGATATTAGTATAAAAACAGACACCTAGACCAATAGAACAGAATAGAGAACCCAGAAATAAATTCATGTATTCATAGCAAACTTATTTTTTACAAAGACACCAAAAAGAAACAGATGAGACAAGTTCTTCAATAAATGATGCTGGGAAAACCGAATATCCATACACAGAATAATGGAACTGGAACCCTATCTCTCATTACATACAAAAATCAACTCAAGGTGGATTAAGAACATTAATATAAGATCCCAAACTATAAATTTACTGGAGGAAAACACAGGAAAAGTACATCAGGACATTGGTCTCTGCAAATATTTTATGACTAAGACTTCAAAGAAACAAGCAATAAAAACAAAATAGATAAGTGGGACTAAACTAAAAAGCTTCTTCACAGCAAAGGAAGCAATAAACATAGTGAAGAGACAACCTGTTCAATGGGAGAAAATATATGCAAAATATTCATCTTATGAGGGATTAAGATCTCTTATATATGTAGGAAACTCAAATAACTCAATAGTTTTTTTTTTTAAAAAAAACCCTACTTGGAAGGCTGAGGCGGAAGGATTGCCGGAGCCCAGCAGGTGAGCAGCCACTGCACTCCAGTCTGGGTGACAGAGTGAGACTCCAACTCAAAAAAAAAAAAAAAAAAAAACCCAAATAATCCCATTAAAATGTGGGCAAAGGACATTAATAGACAGTTCTCAAAAGAAGACATACAAATGGCCAACAGGGATAGGAAAAAATGCTCAGCATCGCTAATCATTAGGGAAATGCAAATCAAAGCTACAGTGAGATATTACCTCATATATATACACACACATACAAATGAAACACTATTCAGCCACAAACAGAATAAAAGCATGTCATTGAAAGTAACATGAATGGAGCTTGAGGTTATTATGCTAAGTGAAATAAGCCAGGCATAAAAAGATACATATCACATGTCTTTATTAATATGTGGGAGTTAACAACATAGATTTCATAGATGTAGGCAGTGAAATGATAGATACCAGAGGCTAGGAAAGGTGGGAGGGAGCACAGGGTAAGGAGGAACAAAGAGAGGTGAATTAATGATTACAAACAAATAGTTAGAAAGAAAGAATAAATTCTAATGTTTGATAGAAGAGAAGGGTGACCATAGTTAACAATGTATAGCATATTTCAAAATAGCCAGAAGAAAGGACTTGAAGGGCTCCCAACACATAGAACTGACAAATATTCAAGGTGATGGAAACCCCAAATGCCCTGATTTGATCATTACATAGTCTATGCATGTAACAAAGTATCACATGTACCCCATTAATATGTATAGATATGTATATCAATTCAAAAAATACATCTCCAAATACACAGTTCTTAGGAAAGTGATAAAGAACCTTGTCTCCAGAGAAATCAGTAAGTTGCAGAAAAAAGTCCTGCATTTTCCAGAGACTCATCCATCTGACAAGAGAAGTTGGAGGAGCTCAATACCATAGATGTTGGTAGATTAACACACAGGTTCCCTTGAGAATTAGACCTGACCTCAAGAGTATGCAGTGTTAGAAGGCAGAGGGCTAGTACACTGGAGACAATTCATGTTCTTTAAAGTTGAAAAATTAATTTGGAGCATGAATGGCCAGGAAATACCAATGATCTGTCACAGATGATAAGTGAGACTATTTGTCTGAATGAGCCAAGTGGTAGGGAAAAAAGTTTATGGAGAACACAGAAGCTCACTCTGTCTCCATTACTGTCTCTCTGATGGTGGTGGTCAATTGTTCAAAGTCATGTTGAAATGAGGTCTGTGGGCAGAGCCTGAGAGGAGGGTGAATATTTCAGGCTTCAGATGGTACTTCTAGGAAGACTGGAATCTAAATGGGCTTCTCCAGTCTGGCCCCTGCCAGTGAGACTTACCAGCAAGGGATTTATACACTACTGAGGAATTTACAATAGTGACTAGCCAAAGAATGCTTCCTGAGTCACCAACAGCAGTTTTTATTCTATCTTGAAAGGATCTTAGCCGAAAAGTCATACGAGGATAGACAAATGTAAGCAGTTATTTATCTTTCTAATGAGGTACTGACCTTGAAACGGCTGATCAGATCATAACGTGTGAGTAATTCATAGAAAATAAATTTCAGTGCATGATCTCCACTAGCCTCATTGAGGGAAAAGACATCAAAGGACCACTTGTCCACATCCTGCAGGACAGGGTGGGGAGAAAGAACACATTAGTTCACAGTCATTTACATACCTACCAATCTCCCCACTCTCGACTCTGCTTGTGGCCCTCACTAGAAATTTCCCAGCCTGAGACTCGATCAGCCTTTCTACTCTCAAACTTTTTTCTACTCTGGTAGTCTTACATAGTATTTACTGTCAAAAATAATTGCATAGCCTTATTACTAATAAAAGCTATAATTTATTGAGTGCCTACTGTATGACAGGCATTATGATTAGTGATCAACATGTAATTCATCCTGAAAACAACTCTTAAGTGGGAGGCATTATTAGTTACATTTTACAGATGAGAAAACTGATGTTACCTAATTTCCCAAAGACCTATTCATGTAAATGCTAGGGACACAAGCAGTGCCAGAACACAAACACAGATTAGATGCCTAAACTCAGGCTCTATCCACAAAGCCCTGCAGCTGTTACTGTTTCATTCACAATGACTTAGGTTGATTCCCGGTGTAACCGACGATCCAACCCTTTGACACTAACCAATGACTTCTTAGTCAACAATTGAGAATGTTACCTCATTTAAAAGTATCCAGAAAAATGCATGATGTAGGATACAATGTAATGTCTCACATCAACCTAAACTGCTGAGATGAAACCAAGGAGAAAGCACTCATATTATAGGATGGAAAAATGCTACCATTTCTGGAGTCACTAATGTGGGATCTTTTCCTCAAATTTGTAAATCATTTACTGTAACAAAATAAATGAAAAAATTAATTTGAACATACCTTATACATCATCCATGAAGTCCAACATCTTCTTTGACTACAAATAGCTGCTTCAAAATACATGAAAATATACTCTGATGTGCCTTTGACTTATAACCAACAACTTGTGGATATGGTAAACAAAAATATTTTAGGGCAACAGTCATTTGGTTTCTGATTGTGTCAAAAATCTCACTTCCTGTATTGAAATAAAATGTATTACCTTCCATATATTCCCCTACTGGGAATATACCCTGAATTCAAATCACTCAAATCACTCTATATCACTCTATAAAAAAATCACTCTATAAAAAAAGATACCTGTACAGGTATGTTTATCGCAGCATTGTTCACAATAGCAAAATCATGGAACCAACCATGCTGTCCATCAAAAGAGGACTGGATTTTAAAAATGTGGTAATATATACAATGGAATATTACGCAGTCATAAAAAAGAAAAAAAATCATGAATTTCTCAGCAACCTGGATGGAATTAGAGTTTATAATACTGTGTGATATCTCACAGAAACAAAGATCTGAGTATCACATGTTCTGACTCATAAGTTGACCTTGAACAACTATGGTAATACTGTAAGAAAAGGATTGACAGTGGTGGGAAACTATGGGGGTCAGGGGGCAGGGAGAGGAAGGGAGGTGAAATTAACGGTAGTCAATATCTGTCTGGGGATGGGGGGCACGCCTCATCAACAAGCGTACCTGCACAATGCATATTTGTATACCTAACCCTTAAATGTACCTCACAACTTTAAAATTAAAAATATGTATTTAAAAAAAAATAAGCCGGACTCTGTGGCTCAGCCTGTAACCCCGGGCTTTGGGAGGTTGAGGTGAATGGATTGCCTTAGTCTGCGGGTTTGAGACCCGCCTGGGCAACTAGACGAGACCTCATCTCTACAATAAATAAAAAAATCAGCCGGGCATGGTAGTGCGTGCCTGAATTCCGCCTACTAAGAAGGCTGAGGCAGAAGGATCACCGGAGACCAGCAGATAGAGGTTGCAGTGGCCGGGAACGGCCACTGCACTCCAGTCTGGGCAACAGAGTGAGACTCTAGCTCAAAAAATAAAAATAAAAGAAAATAGCAAATCTTTGTGATATAATTTCTAAAATTTCTCCTCTGTAGTGGAGATTTACTTGTAAGAAATGAGAGGCACAAAATGTTAAAACTGCAAAAATATATTTATAAATAAGTTAAAATTTTGCTGGCAACTATATGTGAATAAAAGTCAAACCATTGTTTACAAAAATCAATAAAATGCATAACAAAGTTCATAATAAAATAAAATATATTGGTTCTTTTTTGCTTGTTTGTTTTTTTGTTGTTTGATTTTTTTTGAGTTGGAGTCTCACTCAGTCGCCCAGACTGGAGTGAGGTGGCCGCTCCCGGCCACCGCAGCCTCGCCTGCTGGGATCCGGCGATCCTTCCACCTCA